TAGCAAATTGAGTCAGCAAATTGCCCCCACAGTCTGGGTCCTCATTTCTCCCACCTCGGAAGGATGGAAGGCTGAGTCAACCCTGAGCCGGTGAGATTTGAACAGCCAAACTGCAGAACTGCAGCCAGCTGAAGTAGCCTCCAGTGCTGCATTTAACCACTGCGCCACCTCGGCTGATGATGATGATGATATCAACAATAATAATAATGGGTTATTAAATTTAAGTGCTTCAACTCCCAGCAATTCTGGGAGGTGCACCAATAGTTTAAAAATATTTAAAGAACCAGGAAACGACAGCCCTCTCCAGAAGTAAATAATGATGGCAGAAATGACAAAAATCGGGCAAAACGAAGAAAAAAGTGGCAAGACATGATTGGTTTTCTAATTACGCTGACCAGGGGTGGGATTCAACCGGTGTAACCACTGGGTTGCTGAGCACGGACGCAGTGCGTTTGAAAACGGCTCTAAAACTTCCCTTCGACTGTAGCCTTGATGAGTAAAAGCAGCTGAGTAAAATGGCAGAGCGGCAATCTGCTCTTCCGCCCTATCAGCTGGGCTTCAAATAAAGGAAATATAGGATAGGCTAGTGCAGGGGTGGGTGGGTGGCGTCAACTGATTGCCAGAGCTACCAGTTAGCGCGAAGCGGTACGAAACGGCTGAATCCCACCACCCCTGCCACAAAGGGCATCTACAGGCCTGACCCTTTCCAATTTTCATTTCCAGTCTCACGGGGAAAAAACACTTGTTTTGGGGTGAGGTTTTTTGTTTTCTTTGAAAATATTTCACTTCTCATCCAAGAAGCATCTCGGATGAGAAGCGAGACATTTTTCCAGGAACAAAAAATAAAAATCAAGGAAGTCCAGTTGTCTTTTGGAAAAGCACCTTTGGGACAACTGTGAGCTGAATGTTTTGAGAGTCTCCATAGACGTTCCCAGGAAGGGTTTTCTCCTCCTTTGGGGCTAAATCAGGGGTCAGCAACCTGCGGCTCTGGAGCTGCATGTGGCTCTTTCATCCCTCTGTTGCGGCTCCCTGTCGCCAGTCGGCTCCACAACTGATTGGGCTTTCGGTTAAGACAGGTAGAGGAAAAAGGACGCCATGGTAGGAGGAGACTCTGTGGTGGGGGAGCTGGACTTCCGGTTGGCTCCAGAATTGAATGGGGGGCTTCCAGTTAGGACCTTTGCAGCTCTTTGAGTGTTTAAGGTTGCTGACCCCTGGCTTAAATTAATAAATTGGCTTGCAGTGTGTGAAAAAAAAATCCACTGAAGTTCTCCCACCTTCTTCCCTGTGCTTCTCTTCCTTCCTCTTCGCCTCTCTCCTGCCATTTTCTGGGACTTCCTATTTGATTGCTTTTTTCCATCCCAGCACGGACAAGTTCTCCTCCCTGCATGCATTTTCCCTCCCCTTCCCTCCCTTCCCTGACCTGCTAATCCTTGGGCGCCAGTTGGATCTCTCTCTGTATCCCTCTCGCTGACCACCCCTCTCTTTTCTCCCCCAGTTGCTCCCCAGCGAATCTGGGCTGGGCCAGACTCTCCGTGCTCCGATCCGGGTGAGTCCCGGCTGACCCTGGGGGAGGACAGGGCTGTCCAGAGGTCTCGGGGTCCAGCGTAGGGGGTGACCGTCGGAGGAGACGGCCTTCTCACGAGGTGCGTGTTCCCTTTTAGGTGAGCCTATCCGACCCATCGACCCGGCGGCTTGGGTGTCCCACACCGCGGCGATGACCGGCACCTTCCCTGCGTACGGTATGAGCCCATCCATGAGCACAATCACTTCCACCAGCTCTTCCATCACCAGCTCCATCCCAGAAACGGAACGTAAGTTCTTGTACTCGCGCATCTCCCATCCATTGCTTGGCTTCCGGTCAACCGCACGCCTCATCCGATAGGAACCATACCTGGACAGGGCCCAAGGTCTCCTTGGCGGAGGAAGAATCTTGACCCCTCTAAAACAGCCTCAGTAACGAAGGATTGGTTTCCTGGTAGACGCTGCACTGCTGAGCAGGGATATTGGAGTCTCTCTTGATAGGATGTCCCCAAAGGTGCTTTTTTTCAAGAGGCAACTGGACTTTCTGGTTTTCCTTTGAAGACGTTTCACTTTTCATCCAAGAAGCTTCTTCCGCTCTGACTGGATGGTGGAGAATGGAAGGATTGATACTGTCAGGGTTCCAAATAGCATCCAAAATTAAATCATAGTCCAAGGCAAAGGATTCCTCAAAGTTCCAATTGATTAAGAGAGCCATGTTGGCACATCTGGGGAAACCCGAATCTGAAAGCTTCCCAGTTTTCCCCAACAGTTGGAAGTTCAAGATCTTGCCCCCACACCCAGAAGTCCATCCCATGGTCCAATCTCCCACTGCCTTACTGGCAGTTCCACCCATCCAGTTCTGGTCAGGTGCAGAGACATAGGATGACCTGGGTTTCCAGAAAGAATTTTGTTATGGCTACATAGCATCTAACTCTGTACATTTCCCCCTCCCATTTTCCCACAATAGAAAATGCATAGCAGAATAATAGAAAGTGTGGCAGGCCTAATGTCCAAAAGAAAAATGACTGCAGGCCTGACAGATACGCCTTGGAGACAACAGGTTATTTGCATCCTTTTAGAGGGCTGTTGAGGCCACTTGAAGGTTGATCTGTGTCCTCAGGGCCACCTGAGTGGTGCAAATGGGTGTTGCGCCTTCTTGGAACTGTTGAAAAGACTGTGTTGTTGATTGGAGATAGATGATGTCATATCCCTCCCCCTCTTTTGAGGATGGGCTGTTCATCTTATCGCCAGTCTACAACACAGTCCTTTTAGCAGTTCCAAGAAGGCTCCACCCCTATTTGCCCCACTCAGATGACCCTGAGGACAGAGATAAACTTCCAGGTGACCTTAACGACTGTTCTGACCTAGGCTTCCGCCAAAAGCACGAGGCAGAGTCCTGGTCCAGACAAAACCCCTTTTATTAAACGAACTTGAATTCCTCCCATTCACAGTCAGCAAGGCTTGGCAAACAGTCTTTCAGAGGAATGTTTATCCACAGGCACCTTATCTCACTTGGCAAGCTGCCAAATACTAGTTTCCAAACGCAGGGCAAGGCAACACTTGGCACAGAGTCTTTTAAAGTCACACACAGAACTTTCCACTCTTGACACGACCGAATGAACAAATTGTTTCCTGCAAACGCCCACTCCCCGTTCTCTCCTCTTTTGTTTCTTATGGGAGGTGCCAATCACCTCCAAGGTGTGGCTTTACGACCCCGATTTCTAAGCTGTTCTTTTCTTCTGGCAGCTCTGCACATGCGCACATTGGGAACAGGCTCCAGCTGTTCCTCTGCCTCACTGCTGTCTAGCTCCAAAGGCAGCTGAGAATTGCCAAACAGCCTTGGCCCCGTCTCTGCCTCTGATGCAGAGCTCTCGTCCGAACCTTCCCCAGCCTCCAGGACTGGCCCATGCTCCTCCTCTCCCCAACCTCCTCACTGTCCGACTCTGCTGCCAGCTACTAAAAGCATGCAAATGTCCAGCTGTCTGCAAGGAGTATAAATCTCTCCATTCCCCACCATCCAGTCAGAGCTGAGGAAGCTTCTTGGATGAGAAGCGAAATGTCTTCAAAGAAAAAACAGAAAGTCCAGTTGCCTCTTGAAAAAAGCACCTTTGGGACAAGCGAGACCTGATTGACTGAGAGTCTCCATTAGACTCTTGAAAGGATGTCCAGGGATTTGAACAGAACTGCCCCCAAGATGAAAGTGGAGGGAGAGAAATACAGGAAGTATCAGCCAGGAGGAAGTACACTATATTGCCAAAAGTATTCACTCACCTGCCTTTACTCACATATGAACTTACTGTAAATGACATCCCATTCCTAATCCTTAGGGTTCAATATGACGAATAAGCGAGACATGTTGGTACATCTGTGGAAACCCGAATCTGAAAGCTCCCTGGGTTCCCCACCCAGTTGAAAGTTCATGATCTTGCCCCCACACCTACAAGTCCATCACATGGTCCAATCTTCCTTTGCCGCGCTGGCATTTCCACCCATCTAGTTCCAGTCAGGTGCAGAGGTGCAGAAACAAAGAATGACCTTGGGCTTCTAGAAAGGAATGTTCTATTTTGGCAACAACACATTCTACTATTCTACTCCTTACTATTCCCCCTCCCAATTACCCCACTAATGAAACAGCATAGTAACATAAGAGAGAGAGTGTGGCAGGCCAAAGATTCTAAAAAGAAAATGACTGCAGGCCTGACACAGAGTGACACTGGTAAGCGAAGTCCTTGACTCACAACTATCCTCACCCTTACGCCTGTTACTGTACCCCCGTGGTCGTGTGATCCAAATTTGAGAGCTTGGCAACTGACATGTATCTACAACGGTTGCAATGTCCTGGGGACACCTGATCTCCCTTGGCTGCCTTCCGCCAACATTGTCTTCTGACAAGTAAAGTCAGCGCAGGGGGCGGGGGGGGGATTGATTTGCTTAACAACTGCATGATTCACTTTGATTCACTTAACAATCACAGCAAAAAAATATCCCGAAAGGAGGCACGACTCACTTGGGGTTGCAGAAATTCTGGTCCCGATTGTTTCCTGAGTCGAGTGACTGCCTGAATTGTGTTTCAGAGTAAGCTTGTGTAACAACATGGGCACAAGACTATTTTTGTATCTTCCCTGGTGGATGAGGAAGTAGGGAGAGGTGAGATTAAAGCCCAAGAGAGCCTATGGGGCATTAGAACAAAGAAAAGATGGGTTCCTCAATGGAACCTGTGTGGCCATGAAGAAGATCTGGAGGTGATCTAGCGGTAGCCATGGATTGTGTTTTAGAGATCTTCAATGGAGTTAAGAGAATGATCAGGAGATGGTCAAGAGGTAGCTATGGATTGTGTTTTGGAGATCCTCAATGGAGCTAATGGAGCCATGAGGAAGATCTGGAGATGATCTAGAGGTAGCTACGGATTGGGTTTTGGAGATCCTCAATGGAGTTAAGGTAGCCATGAGAATGATCTGGAGATAATCTAGAGGTAGCTACGGATTGTGTTTTGGAGATCCTCAATGNTCTATTCTATTCTATTCTATTCTCTTGCCTAAGGATTGGTGAATGTAAAACAAAAGAAAGAAAAAGAAGCCAACAAGAGAGTTTGTTTCTTGCTCTCCTTATTGCACTGCGGTGTGGAGATATGGACCGAGGACTCAAGTAGAATCTGACAAGAACGGAATAGAACAGTTGCTTGTTGTGATATGAACTCCCGTTAATGTTTTCCAGGACAGCTTTTGAGTGTTTAGCGGCAGAATCCCTCTGTTGAGTCATCTTTAATTTGTGGTTAAGGACTCCCTGTTCCTCTTCACATGCCTACTTCCCTTCCTGTCCTGGTGCTTTTCATGTTTTTTTGTCCAGATTTCAACATTTCGCCCTGTTCAATTCCATCCCGTTCATTTCAGTCTAAGCCTAAAACTTATTTTTTAACCTTCTCTCTCTCATTCTCTCTCTTTTCCTCTCTCATCTGAAGTATTTACCACCTCTCCCACCTTTGCCTCAGTTGTCAATTAAGCCAGGGGTCCTCAACCCCTGGGCCGCAGCCCACTAACGGGCCGCAGCCTGTTCAAAACTGGGCCACGGGAGAAAGGGGCTCCATTCACATGAGCAGCGGGCAAGCACATGCACACGTGAAACTCCACTCACGTGAGTGGTGGGTACTTGCACAAGTGGAGCTTCGCATGCAAGCACAGGTGTCTCCACTTGCGCGAATGGAGCTATGCATGTGGCACTCATGCGTGAAGCTCCATTCGTGTGAGTGGAGGACGTACGTGCCTGCTGCTTGCACAAAAAGCTGTGTTCCTGCGCCTGTCACTCACTCTACACACACACCCTGCACCCTGGGCCACCAATCTGGAAAGGTTGGGGACCTCTGAACTAGACGAGGGTCCCCTCAACTCCTTTTCCCAAGTCATTAATAAAAATGTGGAGGAGCATCAGGCCCAGGACAGAGCCCTGTGGCCCCACTCCATCCCTCCAAGCTAAAGTGGGACCATTAAGGAGCATTTGTTAGGCATGGCATGTCAGCATCGCCCCTAGTAGTAGCACTTAGACTTATATACAGCTTCACAGTGCTTTGCAGCCCTCTCTAAGCATTTTACAGAGTCAGCATATTTGCCCCCCCCCCCCAACAATCTGGGTCCTCATTTTACCGACCTCGGAAGGATGGAAGGCTGAGTCAACCTTGAGCCTGGTGAGATTCAAACTCCAGACTGTGGGTAGAGTTTTCTAGGGAGGGAGGAAGGAAAGAAGAAAGGAAGCCACAAAGAAGGGAGACAGGCAGGAAGGAAGGAAGGAGGAAGGGAAGGGGGCAGGAAGGAAGGAGGGAGGGAGGATATAAGGAGGGAGGCAGGCATGCAGGCAGGCAGGGAGGAAGGAAGGAAAGAAGAGCACTAGCATTTATGTACCACTTTACAGTGCTTTATAGTCCTCTCTAAGAAGTTTACAGAGTCAGCCAACTATCTGGCTCCTCATTTTACCTACATCGGAAGGACAGAAGTTTGAGTCAACCTTGAGCCTGGTGAGATTCAAACTCCAGACTGTGGGTAGAGTTTTCTAGGGAGGGAGGAAGGAAAGAAGGAAGGAAGCCACAAAGAAGGGAGGCAGGCAGGCAGGAAGAAAGGAGGAAGGGAAGGAGGCAGGAAGGAAGGAGGGAGGGAGGATATAAGAAGGGATGCAGGGAGGAAAGAAGGAAAGAAGAGCACTAGCATTTATATACCACTTTACAGTGCTTTAAAGTCCTCTCTAAGCAGTTTACAGAGTCAGCCTCTTGCTCCCAACAATCTGGGTCCTCATTTTACCCACATCGGAAGGACGGAAGTTTGAGTCAACCTTGAGCCTGGTGAGATTCGATCTGCCAAATTGCAGGGAGCTGGCAGTCAGCAGAAGTAGCCTGCACTACTGCACTCTAACCACTGTGCCCCCTTGACGGTTTCACCTGTTTCTCTTAGTGATGTTCTCCACCCTTGAGGATCCTGTCCCTACTGGCCTTCCTTAAGATCTTAATGACTTTGCTTTCCCCAGGGTAGGGAGTCAGAGGGATGGATAAGCCTTCTGAAAAGATTTTTTTGACGGAAACATTGCGGTCTAGCCTGGGTTGTAATATGTCCCATTGGTTTTTTGTTCTTAATTTTGTGGGTTTTTATATTAGTTTGAATCCTATGTTATCAATCAGGCGTCAATAGTCTGAGCTGGGGAAGAGGTCACATATATTAGTTAAATATTGTATTTTTCGGAATATAAGACAACCTTCCCCCACCCCTCCCCTGCCCCCAAAAGAGGGTGAAAATCCGGGTGTGTCTTATACACTGAATACAGCATTTTTGCCTCCTGAAACTCCGCCCACTTGCAAAAATGGACATGCATCACTTTCCCTTAGTCGTTGTCTCTCTCCCTTGTTCAATTTTGCTTGCTCCCGCCCCTTTTCCAGGTTCGGATGTGGTCGATTGGCTGTACCATCACGTGGAGGGATTTACGGACCGGCGAGAATCCCGCAAGTACGCTAGCAACCTGCTGAAGGCTGGTTATATCCGACATACAGTCAACAAAATCACCTTCTCGGAGCAGTGCTACTACATCTTCGGAGACCTCTGTGGAAGTACGGATTGTAATCGTAGCTATGGCCTGGGAAGGAGGGGTGGCTTAATTGCAGGTAGTCCTCAACTTAACGACCCCAGTTGAGCCCCAGACTGCTGTTGCTAAGGGAGGCAGTTGTTAAAAGTGGCTTTTGCCCCATTTTAAGACCTTCCTTGCCACAGGTGGTTAAGTGAATCACTGCAGCGGTTAAAGCTTACTGGTCTGTTGTTAAGTGAATCCGGCTTCGCCATTGACTTTGCTTGTCAGAAGGTCGCAGAAAGGGATCACATGACCCAGTGATATGGTATCGGTTGTAAGTGAAAAAAAAAACAGTCGAGTCAATTTTTCCGGTGCTGTTGTAACTTTGAACAACGGTCACTAAATGCTTTCATTTAGTTTTAAGTTGAGGTCTATTCGTATTTCAAGGTCAGACTTTCCCAGCTTGGAACCGGGTGTTTTGATCATTTTGGAACCATTCCAAGCTGAGTGGGATGTGTCTTTTCTTTTTCTGTCTTCCCCCCCCCCCCTTGCTTGAAAATGTTCCAGGATTCATTGGAATAGCTCATTTTGCTGCTCAAAGCCAGCGGCCTCCCAGTCTTCAAAACAGAATGTTTAAATTGAAGACAATTTAAGTGTTTTAAATGCCTCTCTGGGAAGGAAGGAAGGAGTGATTTAGCAGAAAAAGAAAATGACTTAGCAAAAAAACCAAGCAGATGGGTGATCATGAATGGCCTTGGGTGGGGTCTCTGCAGAAGGCACTCTTATCCTAAATTAGGAACAGGAAGAGACTGTGTTGACCAGACCATGAATGGTTTGCTAAATCCCGCCCTTCCCCTTTTCTTTTTCTTCTGCCTTGGGATAGGCAACTGACAAAACAATCACTATTGATAGACAGCCAGGGAAGTGGCCATGAACGAAATGTTCAGAAACATTGTTGTTGTGGCCCGCCAGCAGAGCTGGCAGCCAAGTCGGACAGTGAGGAGGTTGGGGAGGAACATGGGCCAGTCCTGAAGGCCGGGATGAGGGCTCTGCGTCAGAGGCAGATATGGGGCCAAGACAGCAGTGAGGCAGAGGAACAGCTGGAGCCTGTTCCCCGTGTGCGCATGCGCAGGGCCGCCAGAAGAAAAGAACAGCTCAGAAACCAGAGTCGACTTGAGAGTAATGCCACAGGTGGACGGTGAATGGACCCTCCTATAGGAAATAAAAGAGGAGCGAAAGGGGAGGGGGCTTTTGCAGGAAACAATTCGTTCGTTTTGGCTATTAGTTCATTTCAGGAGTGTGAAGATCTGTCCGTGAATCTCAAAAGACTCTGTGCCAAGTCTTTCCTCACACAGCACTCCATTTGAGAAATACTTACATGGCAGCTTTCCAAGCTAGATAAGGTCTGTGGTCATAACTTCACCTTTGAAAGACTGTTTACCGGGCCTTTGCTGAATGTGAATGAGAGGAGTTCACATTAGTTTAATAAAAGGGGTTTTGTTGGGACCAGGACTCTGCCTTGTACTTTTGGGGGAAGCCTAGGTCAAAACAGTTGCATGCCAAAATAAGAAAAGCATTCCTTAAGTCCTGAGAACAGAGATCATACATAGTTGAGGTTGGCTCCTCCATGACTCTTCTGGGGTATTTATTTATTTACAGAGTTGACCTCGAGAACTGAGGAAACGAAAGCGCCATTAGTGTCAAGTGCAGGAAAATCAGGAAGTCTAGGCAGTTTAAAACGAATGTAGAGGTTTATTGCAAGCTTTTGTTCCCTACAAGAATCTGATCTACTTATGGTCAAAGCAAATTGGCGGAAAGTTCCATTTGTCTAAGCGGCGTGCGTGTGCATCCACCGCTTGCTGTTGTGGCCTGTCAGTTGCTGGCCGCTCCAGCAGCTGAATCAGAGTAGGAGTAGGAGGCATGGGAGTCAGGGTCAGCATCAGAGCAACCTGGGAGCTCCAACGGGGAAGAGAGAGAGCGAGAGCGGGGGGG